ATTATCAAAATAATCGTTTGTGGCAGCCCTAAGGTGGACACAGGAACAGAATAACACAACTCCCCATCTTTTCTGCTATACATCTTATTTGCATTACACAAGGCAAGCTGAGCATTTTCCTGTGACTCATATGGAGGCGGATGTAGACAGTGGAGCCGCTGTTTATGTTTCCAGATACCTCAAGGGAAGGATTAAGCAGAGCTGCAAATGACGAGTCCCTTAAAGATAAAAACAATAGGAGAGCGGCTGTCTTACATCAGAGGGAGGAGCTTGGCTGTGCATCTGTGTTTTCTCTCCTCCTAAGCACCTCCCGCCATCCTTGCTCTCTGCATTGCAGGGGGAAACCCACCAACTCATTTATGACGGTGACAGTGCAGAGTCTGCCCTCTGGTGGCAAAATACGCACTGTGTCACAGATTGGGTATAAATACTTTAAGGATTTCAAAAATGGTTTAAAATGCCTCAGAAAAAAGAAAAAAAAAAGAAAAAACTCCCACAATAATAACAAGATGTGAACAACAGGTGAATACTGAATTAGATGATGTTGTGTTGTTGGTTTTCTTCGCCTTAGTGGTTGAAGACAGAAGAGATGACACAAGCTGGCAGCACAGCCATCAAGATAGAGAACCCAAACCAGTTTGTGCCTCTGTTCACCAATCCCCAAGAGGTGATCGAGACCCGAAATAAGGTAACGCTTCTTTGCTTTTGGCTCGTTCTGTTTCCCCAGTGTCCATATTCCCTTCGGTGTACTGTCACGTGAAACAAAAACAGTTTACAGAACGGCTTTTCTGTCCTCAGATTCGACAGCAGAATCGTCAGGACATGAAAACAGCCGGACCGCAGTCGCAAGTCCTCGCCAGTGTTATAACAGAAGATAATCCTCCGGTAGTTTGCAGTCTCTCTCTCCATTACAACTCACTTTTATTTCTTACAGGTTAATCTTCTGAGGTAAAAGCTGTAATTTTGTGCTTCTGCTTGTCTATTAGTCCCCTGTCAGTCCACCTAAAGTCCCACCAGAGCCAGAACCTCCAAACCCCTTTAATGAGCTGACGGACCAGGAGCTGGAGGAGTACCGCAAGGAGGTGCAGAGGAAGCAGGATGGAGGAACCAATGGTACTCTGCTTAGCTTCTAACACACAGCATGTCTAATAAGCTAACACTAATTGTCAAATAAGTGTATATTTAAGTAATAATACAGTTAAATATCGTGACAGACCAGAGAGCCAAAAGTATGCAGACACTTGAACACTTATAAGTGATAGCTGAATATCTTATTCCATGTTAACCACAAGTGTTAACGATAAGTAACAGTCAAATATCTTTTCTGAACTGAGTGTTTTTGTCATATTTCAGACCTGCTCTTAGAACTAAATGACTTGGTTTCCATCAGAAGTTAATGAGGGTGGTCTCTGCTTATGCAGCTACCCTCGGAAAAACCCAAAACTATTCTAATGTCCATCAAACCACATCTTTATTGATATCTACCGAGGTATTAAAACAGAAAAATTAAGAGTAGAGGGGAGGTCGTCACATATTGTCTTCATTGTAGTGCAACAACTATTTGGGGAAGGCTAGCATGTGTCGTAACGTATCTGCATAGAATTGCTGAGCGTAAGGGAGGTCGGGCGCTCGGTAGCTTGTGACGATCCATTTTTTGAAGAGAGTTAGCTTGAGCTAGTTAACTAACTTAACAGGCTGGTTCTCGGCCTGTCAGCTACCTGTTTAGCATGTTAGCTTGGTTTTGAACTAAACTCACATTTATACTTGTAACAATTGCCCAATGGCAGCCCACTGCTTCACTGAGTGAATGGGTTAAATGCAGAGAGGGATCAATAAAGTATACATTATTATTATTATTATTATTATTATTATTATTATTATTACTGTTCATATAAAAGTAGAGGCTGGAATTTGGTTAGGAAAATTAAAAATGTTTCCTATGCAAAATATTGAGCATATCAGTGATGAGCTAAAAACCAAAGCTAGCAGCAGAAACAGAGTAAAATACATTTCATGTTATTCTTTTAATAAAGATCATTTTTCTATTATTTTAGCTTCCTAAACTGACCCAGCACCATTTACTGCTATTGCCATAAAAAATGTCTGCATATGTTTGGGAACATGGTGTAACAAAAATGGCTAATTATGCTACTGCTCACCTTCACACGTTATTCTAACCTTCTCATAGATGCTGTGTGTAGCATTTAAAAATTCAAATAAATTGTTGCAGGTGCTTTTTAAAAGCATCTGTCGGCTGCTCCCT